CCCTAAGTGTTTTGACGGATTTATCGGCCAATTGAAGCACCACCGAGGTTGGCTTCGACTCATTCAAACCTAGTTGGATATTCACGGAATAAGGAATCAAATTAACACTCGCACCTAAGTTAAGAAGGGCTCTATAAACTTCATGGTTTCCAATTACACAAGAAATAGTCGAAGCGCCGGGATCTTTGAACTTAGGTGGAGTGTTTTGTTGAATAATGGAGCTCACTTGCTATGTGAGGAACACTTTTTTAGGGCTTGGTCCCTTACTCTTCCTCTTTTCTGTGCAAAGATCTTTCAAGAATTTTACATAAGGTGGAATTTGCTTAATGGCATCCAAAAGAGGAAGATTTATGTTGACTTGCTTAAAAACTTCCATTATGCCATGTATTTTCCCTTCTTGCCTCCCATAAGGCGAAGTTTCTTTCAAAACATAAGGGAATGGAGCTTTTGGCTCATAAGACTTTGCAATTTGAGGAGATGATTGAGAGAATTCCAATTAGGAACATTTTCATTCAAGGAAGTAGGAATGGAATTGGATGACTTTTGGTTGCACCGATTCACTATCTTCCTTTGGTAATTCAACCCTATTGTCCACTTGTTTACCACTTCTCAAAGTGGTGATGGCTTGCACTTGAGCTTGGGAAGAACACCCCGATGTAGGGTTTGCTTCCACACAAAATTGGGCTTTTGGATTCTTCTCGGGTTGACTAGGTAATTTACCGATTTCTCTTGCATTCAATGTATTAGCTATGGTCCCAATTAGGGATTCAAACTTTGATATGGATTGAGAGTGGGAATGCAACAAGTTGGTATTCCTTTCTAAGCTACCTAAGGCCACCAAAACCTTATATTCAAATGTAGAATTGCTAGAAAGTGCATGAGGATAATGAAAGCAAATTTGTGAATCATACATTTGAGGATGTAAAAAGTGATTGGTTCTTTGATGAGATGAAGAAGAAACAAATCCTTGGGAACCTCATTCCCTTTTATGAGGTGGAATATATTTGCTTTGAAACTTTTTAGCTTGATAGAAATTCAAATTTTCATTCCATATTGGAACATATACACTTGAGTAAGGGTAAGCGAACGTAGCATTGACTTGTTCAAAGTGCTCATTGAATGCATGTCCATGTGGACAATTGAAAGTGGTTGTAAAACACTTGAACGTGTCATGTATGGCTCACTAAGATGAGAAGTATGATGAAAAGAAGGTGATTTTATAACCGGTTTTTGACTCAACAAGAATTGATCAAGTTTTTGAGAGAGAGTCTTAACCTCGGCTACAATCTCTAATGGATACTCTATTTGACATACTTGCAAATCTCTCTTCTTTTCCTTTGAACTATGGTCAAACCGAGAGCTATAATATTTTTGCAAAGAGTTTTCGCTCATTTTCTCAAAGAGGTGCCATATGTCATCCTCATGTTTTCCAAAATATGATCCTCCACATGATATATCGACTATGTCCTTATGAATGTCGGATAGGCTCTCATAAAAATATTGAACCACTTGCCATTTCAGAATGCCATGATGTGGACATTTGTTTAGCAAGTCATTCAATCTTTCCCAAGCCTCATGTAACCACTCCCCTTCCCTTTGAGAAAATTCTCTAATTGAAGTACGCAATACATTAGTCAAGCTTACGGGGTAAAAAATTTTCAAAATTTTATTTTGCATTTGTGCCCAAGATGTTATTGAATTTGCCCCCAAAGTATTGAACCAATGCTTTGCTTTATTTTTGAGTGTGAAAGGGAAGAGAAGTAGCCTAAGAACTTCTTCCGGAACATCCATATATCTTACGGTGGAACATATTTCAAAGAATTCATTAAGATATTTGTAGGGTTCCTCATCATCTAAGCCATAAAAGAGTGGACACATTTGAATAGTCTCGGGCTTGATTTCATATTGATTTTCCTTAAAATTAGGCAACATAATACAAGTAGGTGCATGATATGCATGAAGATTGTAATGATCATGAAGGACCATTGGAGGAATTAGAGCTTGAACTCCGGGGCCATGTTGATTAAGAGGGGGGTTTTGCATGAAACGTGGGTCTAAGTAGCTAAGATTACCCTCTAGATTTTCCATGTGAATGCCTAGGACGAATGATATGACAAGGACTACCCAAGACTTCTAGCAACACACGAATCACAACAAAAAAAGCAAGCACATCTCATTCACAACACGTCAATAATCAAACTTCCTCCACAAACAATATTCCTATACTCCCATGCTATCAACAATATGCAAGAAAAGTAAATTGCCTCCACGCGAGCTCACAATTTATTTAAGAATTGAAATACAAGCCTCCAAGAGGGCCGACGATTTAACTAAAGGTTGAGTAAGGAAAAGCTCACAAAGGTCCTTTAGCACTTCAACTTCAATTTTCAGCTTTTAGCTTAGTAATTTCGTATGATTTTAGCTTTTTCTTTCTTTCGCTTAGCTCATTTGCTTGAATGCTCATTTGCTTGCTTCCTAGCTCAATACTCCTACTCAAATAAGAACAAACACAATGAGTAACAAAAAGAAAAATAAAAAGCAAAGTAAAGACACGATCAAAAGAGTACTAATTCCTAATTGATTCCACAAATATGACGTTGCCTTCAATCAATCCCCAGAAACGAGCCAAAAACTTGGTGTGGTTCAGGTCGTCAACCGCGAACCCCACGATTTGTGATACCACCTAAAGGTAGTGGTGTAGAGCTATGATGAATGTGGCCAAGTTTTACATTTAGAAATTGTCACTACTACCTTTCACTAAAAATATAGTTAGGGTGAGTAGGGATCGTCCAAAGGAATTGGTGGGTCGTACTATGTTGAGGAATCAAGATGAGGGTTAGTAAGTTGAGTGATCAAAATAGTGGTTGGTTGGTTGAATTACACTAGATGCTAATTAAACTAAAGTAAACAATAATGCAATGAAGAGAATAAAAGAAAGAGAGAGATCTTGGGGTTTAGAGATCACCACTAAGCATACTTTTTTACACCTTTAATGAATGATTAATGAGGGGAAGATATGTGTTGCAATATTTGTGTGTGTGTGTGTGTGTTTGGTTGTTTCAATTAGCAAGGATGACCAATTAAGCATATATTGTTTAAGAAACATAGTGAAAAACACAATATATCAAACTAAGCCAATAATCCTTTCATTAATCTCACAATCCAAACACATTACAAGGTTAGAGACATATGCTACTTGCATTCAAAAGCATAGAACATCAAACAACAAGCATGGATTGTCCTCTCATTTAACAACTACACTACAACTAAGCTAATGACATGAAATTAACTAATTAAACTAAGGGAGAGGCACAATCCATCAAGAAATGAGTATGAACCATCAAGTAAATCACAAGAACATTCCATTAAGCACTATGTCTTGACAATCTCTAGATCTATAGCATTAATACACATAGACATGCATCAACAATACAAGAAATAGAGACAAACACGTGAACATCTATTCTAGTATACATAGACATATGGATAAAATGAAATGATCAATTGGAAGCATTAAACCATATAAATCATTGAATAAACAAGATCTATATATATAAAAGTATCAAAACATGTATCAGAATTCAAATCCCCTCAAAAATACATAAATTAAGATGTAGAAAGCATGCTTATGGCTAACTCTAGCCCCAAGAGGATGTTTAGTCACTCATAGATGATGTCTTCCAACCCTCAAGGGCAAGCTCCGTGGAAGAAATTTGCTCCTTGGTTGATGAAGAGCCTCCCGTGGTGTCTCTAGCCTCCTCCTCTCCTTTGCTTCCTCCCTAAGAATTCTCTAAAAATCTCTCTCTATGATTGTGTGTGAATCCCCTCTAAAAAGTTGCTCAAATCCTACTTTTTGGTAGGTTGCGTGACACCCAAAAATGATCTGGCACATACTCCAATATTCTCCCAATGATTGGATAGAGGATAACTTTTTATGAGCTGGCAATTTAACTTTTTCGCAGTGGAGGAAGTTCGATCGATCGAACCTTGACCTTGGATCGATCGAACATGGCTGAAATCTATTGAACTGAAGTTGGATCAATCCTCTATGGTGACGCCTTTTTGGATAAAAAAAATCTGAGATATTTTGAAGATATTTTTGGCAAAAGGATAAAAGTGGTTGGTAGGGTGGTACAGCTGGATAAGATCAATCATTTGGATAAGGACAAGATAGTTCGATCGATCAGAGAATGAAGTTGGATTGATCGAACTTTGAGATCTTTGAATAGGGACAAACATGGCTCAGATCCATCTGGAAGTGTTGAGATCGATGAAGGTTGGATCGATCGAACTTTTCTTGAGATCGATCGAAGTTGCTGAAATTCCACCTTTTGCTTCTTTTTGCTCTACTTTGCTCCTTTCTTTGATTCATCCCAGAATTACTTCATTTCTGCTTTTATTTGGCTGAGTTAGCTTATTTTAGGGATAAGTACCTAAAAATGAAAATAATACGAAATCAATGTAAAGCGGGAAAATAAAATAGATAAAGGTCCTAGAACACCTAAGCTTAAGGGGTTTAAATGCGCACTTTTCAGCGCTCATCATTTGGCAAGGTATATTGGAAGTCACGAGGCTAGCCGGGTATTGTGTAATAATTCGTTGAGCCTGTATCGGAGGATGCAAAGGCAGGGATACTATTGGCCGACGATGGCGAAAGATGCAGCAGCTATACAAAAAACATGTCCAAAATGCCAGGAATTGCGTGAGGAGGCTCAATATGTGCCAGCATTGAAGAGTATTGGAGACAGAAATATGTGAAATACCTTAAAAAATGATTGCTTCCATAGGATCGCGAGGAGGCTGCTCTGTTAAGGAAGGAAACAAGGCGATTCTTCATATGCAACAATGAATTAATGAGGCGAGGCTTTGATGGCAAGGCAAAGCGATGTGTCAACTCTGCCGAAGCCTGCAAGGTTTTAAAGCAGGTTCACAAGGATGAGCACCAATGATGGAAGAAATTATACAACTGCCTCATACAATGGGGTTATTATTGGCCAACAATGCAAACTGACAACAAAGAATATGCCCGAAAGTGTCGCGAATGCCAGATCCACGATCATGCCATCCACGCACCAGCAGTGGAGTTACACTCCACGGATGCTCCCTGGCCATTCCATACTTGGGCCATGGATCTAATAGGTCCAATCTCACCCAAGTTTAGAAAGAAAAAGTGGATACTGGTGGCAACAGAGATTTATACCAAATGGGTAAAGGCAGCGACCTTGTCGGTGGCAATCGGACAGGTCGTGGCAAACTTCATGAAAGAAAACATCATATGTCATTTCGGTGTACCTCAGGTCATTGTATCGGATAACGGAACCCCTTTTGTTAACAGTAAGGTCCGTGCACTCCTATGAAGATATTAGATAGCCCACCGCAAATCGACGCCTTATTACCCAAAAAGGCAATGGAAAAGCGGAGGCAACTAATAAGACGCTAATCCGGATCCTGAGTAGGACCTTGAAGGAGTAACATGATCAATGGGCCGAGCAGCTGCCCCTTGCGCTTTGGGCATACCGAACAACTGTAAGAGGAGCCACAGGTTCTACGCCCTTCTCCCTAGTATATGGCATAAAAGTGATACTTCCAATTGAGATAACGGTCCTTTCAGGGAACCTATCCGGGCGGAGTAAGCTGCAGTTCGACCCCAGGATCGGGGAGCTTGAGGGACTCCAGGAACAGAGGGAGCACGCCAGGAACAAAATCGTGGTTTACCGAGGAAGGATAGCTCGAGCCTACAATGCTATTGTTCGGCCTCAAGTTCTTCAAAAGGGAGATCTAGTTTTGAGGACCGTGGTTCATGTGATGCGGAACTTATCTGCATCAAAGTTCACCCCAAAGTGGGAACGTTCGTTCGACGTCAAAGCTACAGGTTCCAGTGGAAACTATGAAATCGGAAGAATAGGCAGCCGCAAAATATTGGGAACATTCAATGCCAAATGGCTAAAAAAGTACTATTCCTGACCTGAAATTCTCCCAAAGGCCCCCATGTTTGTGAAAGGCTCTAAGGCCTCAAATATGCTCTTGTAACAAAGAATATATATACATATATATATATATGAAAATCCTGAGATGAAAAGGGCCCAATGGACTGTATCCTTGGTGACTGCATGCATAATTTTCTTCTGTAATATAACTTCTGGTTTACCTCATTCCTGGTAGAGGTCACTAAAAATACTAACTTCTGGGTTACTTCGTTTCTAGTAAAAGGTCATGAAGTAACCAACTTTCGGTTTCCCTCGACCTTAGTGGAGGTCATAAATAAAAAAATTATGGTTTGCCTCGTCTCTGGCACGAGGTCATTTATAACTTCATAAAGTGCGACAGAAATATAATAGGAAAATAAAATATTCCATTTTAGTCTAAGCAGGTTAAGTATGGCAAATCAAACTAAAAGGGACATGATTCATTGATAAAAAGGGTAGCATATATAATTCCCTCCCTCGGATAGGGTATAATTAATACATAATTTCTTTCTTTACAAAACAAATTATTTGCCTCATTGCAGCATCAAGGCAAACCACGCAAGTCTATAGTAGCAGGGCCAAGTAGGGACGACGTGGCACTCGATCTCGCTATCTAAATAAGTGATGTGCCGCTCCCTCAAATTCATTTATTCTTGCAATTCGGTCAAAAGAACTTTTTTCTCATCCTCGACCTGGTCTCGAAGGTCCTTGATTTCTTCTACCATCCTTTCGCGCTCTCCGAAAGCTTTGATTCGCACAAAGATATCGTGGGCCCAACTTATGTCGATTTGCGCCCTCCTCAAATTCGTAAAAAAATAATTGAGGGAAGCAAGATCATTCTTGCTTAAAGAGCGTTCCCTGGCTACATGAAGGACTGTCACTAGCTCGTATATGGTTTTGAACACGAAGTCCAAAAATAAAGGCAACATCCCCTCGAGATTTTCGAATGTCTGAGGGTACTTAGCCTTTACCTCATCCAAAATGCTGGCCTCGATCATGGAAACGGTGGTCCCTCCCCATGACACGGGTGAGGAAACATCTATCTCTGGACCTAACCTTGCAAGATTTATCTGAGTTTGGCCTCCTTCGGGTGAACGGTCTGCTCCCTCGATTGAGTCCTCATTTAATGATGGTGGAACCAGACTGTTACCCCCAACTTGGTTAATGTCATTTTTGGAACTATTCGACCTCGAATTCTCATCCTCGGAAGAATCACCAGGGCTTGAACTCTCTAATTCATCTAAACTGTCCTCCTCAGGGGGAGGGAGAGATTTGATGGCTGTCTCTACCATCTATTCTAACTCAGCGATGGGTTCTCGAGGAAGCACCTGAACAATCTCGATCTCAGTGTCACTGTCTCCATCACCATGGCTAGAATCATGGCCCTCAAAGCCACCAACAACCTCTGTCACGACTGCCTCGACATCTAAAAAAGGAGGAGACCAACAGTTAGTAAAAAGGGGGGGGGGGGGGGAACTCCACTAAGAAAGCAGGGGAATACCTCTATTGGATGGTGAATGGCTAGGGTTTCTTTCAAAATTAAAAGTCCCTATAGCTGGATCCATAGTGGTGTTAACCTCCCCCGTATCCTCATCATACCGACCCAAGCCTCGGGCCAAAGGAATCAATTCCTTCCCCACCCCATGTTGCAAGGGCGGAGGGGGTTCAGATCGGATGACAATACTGCCCTTGCTGCCTGCTCAGGGTCTTCAAGAACACTAGCCAAAGTGTGAAGGAGATCAGAACGAATTGCCAAACCAATATGAATTGTATCATCAGTAGGTACGGTTGTAACAGGGACCTTCTCGGGGGGAGCAGTACGGGATCTCGTGCTTGTAGAAACCCCAGCTCAAGCCGGTGGGCGAAGGACTCTTGAAGAGACAATAGGGTTCTCTATAGTAGAAGTGTCCTTGGAAGCACCCTGAGAATAGGCGAGGAATAGTTAGCATAGGAAATGATAGGAAGAAATTAAAGAGTGAAGTGTGAGAATCTACCTTGCCCCGTTTTGAAGAAGTAGTTGCAGGCACAAAGGTGCTGATTTCCTGGTCGAGCTTACGTCTATCACGGCGGGCTTTGGGATCTTAGAGAGCTATCACGGGTGCGGTAATATTAGGTAAAACCAAGAGAGGTAAATCTGGTGTATTGCAAGGCTTACCGTATGCGGTTATAGAAGTATTCTTAAAAGGACGGGATGAGATGTCGCTTTTTAAAAAGGGATGAGCAGGGACGGGAACTGGAATACTGAATATGAACTCTCTAAAGGAAGCAATCACTTTTTTCCAATAGGCCCTAGTTTTCGCAGCATATCGCCACACCCTCAAGGTAGAGGGCACATTAAGAATTTGGCGATCTCCCAAGAGTTTCACTTCCTCGGAATCAAGAAAGCAGGAAAAGCCCAAGGGATAGGTACTGTGACTTTGGCAAGCTCCGAGGCCGTAGTCCCGAGACAACCCCTAATCTAGCCCAAACTGTCGAGCTACCCGGTGAGGGTTATAAACCTTTCCCACCCCCGAGTGAGGAGGAAGGAGTGCAGGAAAATAGCGTATAGAGGTCATGGCGAGGGCAGGGGTACGCTTTAAAGACTTACCCGAAATAACCATACCATCCTTTGAGGCACAACAACCCACCCGACGTCCATTAGTATAAGGGCGAGCTACAAAGCAACTCTCCCTATCAATAAATTATGCCAATTTTTTCTTGGTATTATGCTTGTGCTACTGAACAGATCACTTCAAACCACTATCTCGAGGTAGTGTAGCGAGGCGAGGGCCATATTTTGGAAAATGTTCATATAAGGACATTTGAAGAAAAATGGCATTGACAGGAGTAACCACTGTCATACGACCCACAGAACGCTCCATATGGGCATGTGCCAAGTCAAGCTCATGGTAAAGTGTTCCCAAAAAAAGCACGACCAAAGGAAAACTCTTGCCGCAAGACAATCTGACAGCCTGAGGGATAAGATCGGGACGGGGCCCATCATCAGGGGGACCCGGAAAAACAAATCTAGATAGCCATGTTAAGAGAAAAGCAGCAAGTCGAGCCGAATTCTTACACTTAGGACCACCGAAGGATTCCTTATCTTCCTGGCCTTGAGGGGGAAGATCTCCAAAATAGTAGCGAAGGAGTGACACGAAGGTGCATTTCTTTCCCATTTTTGGGAATTCCTCGTGAAGGCCATTGTCTTGGTAGCGCGATGCAATCTTCCCCGCCGAGGTAACGCCACTGCGTAATTTAGCGGCGAGCTTGAACTCATCCTCAGGAAGAGACCAAGAGCTGGGGTCGTGCTCCCCAAATACGTTCAAACACATGAGTTAGACCACATCCTCAATAGTAGGGGTGAACTCCCCCCAAGAAGTGACAAAGGTGTGAGTGTCTCGGCTCCATCGAGACACAGGAAGCACGATGACGTGAGCATCCCGCGGTATGGTCAGCTTTCGAGTATTGCGAATGCCATCTGTAATTCTCGCGGTTTTCAAAGTTTTAGAAAACTCAATGTCGGAGTGAGGAAAATTGTCACGCTCTACCCTTAGTTGTAGCACCGAGTTAGGTGGACTAGGTACTCCTATGGATGCATAGGGCGCACCCTCTGATAGGAAAGTACCGTTTGGGACTTCGTCCACTTCACTTAATGAGTCATTGTTGACCCAAAAGGTATCATTCGGTCCAAAGTAAGGAGCGACTCGCCACTCAGCCAAAGGAGGAACATTAGGGACATCGTCGCGTACTGCCATGACTTTGGTTCGACCTCGACTGAAAATCTTAAGAAAATCTTGAGAGAAAAATAAGCGGCTTGGTTTGTTTGAACTTTGAAAAGAACAAATGTTTGCTTAAATAGTGGGGGCCAGCGCCCCAAGCATCGCAACACCCCTGACAAATGAAAAGACGGGGCTCGGGATTTGAAACGGCATAATTCGGCGCACCAGTAAAAAAAAGACACGTGGAATGGGAAGTCGTAATAATATGACCCTTCAATACCAAAACGTAATAATAATAATAAGGGTTCTTGAAGAATTAATTAATAACTTTAATTAAATAATGACTTGCTCGAGCTCCCCTCTTAACAACCTCGAGCAGTGGGGCAAAATGTTGATGACTGCGCCACGATGGCCGCCTAAGTGGCGCCACCTCGACAAAAATAGGCACACCTAGCCAGTGCTTACCTGGCATGCCCATAATGGGATTGGGTATCCTCGAGCTACTCATCCACTAACTAGACTTGCTGATCGAGGAAGGGGTCGCTACCCTTCCTCTTCCTTGGATGTGCCTCGCTCCAGTCGGATGGGCTCCTCCCCTCTGCTTTTCTGAGTTTGCCTCCTAAAAAGGGCAACCTCGACTAACCTGTTTTACGATTCCCCTTTTCCTTGGGGAGTAGGAACCCTGAAATATTAAATTGGGACAGAGCCCTACGAGGTCACGAAGGCAGAACCTTGAGGAGGGCTTTCTCCCTTTTGGAACTTGGGAATCTGAGGGCATATGGATAGGTGGCTGAGATCCAAGGTGTCGCCTTAGCCCGAGGCCAACACAAGGGGGAAAGGATACTCGGTACCCAAGCTCGAGCAAAGCGAGATAAAGAGTGCATTGATTGCGAATGATGTCTGATAAGACCTGCATTAATTAAGGAGCGCCATTACCTCTTTTGACCGGGAGGTAAAGCGTCGCGGCCTGTCCATCAAGGTCCTATCCGTCAGGAGAAGTGACCCCTGAACCTATGAGTAAGAGCGAGCTCACCCGAAAGGATATTGACTGAGGGGGGAAACACTATAAATAGGGGTGTTAATTAGCCTTTAAAAACAACAACTACCACATTAACTGCTGCTTACTGTTAAGCTCGAGTTTACGAGGTACCGAGGTCAGCCTTCCCTTTCTTAATCTTTGTGCTCAGAGAATCCCTTGTGTTGCTTAGATCTCTACTCGGATACTGATCTCAGATTCCTTGGTCTACGTATTCTCATCCCATTAAGAACTAACTTCAACACCCTTTAGAGTACCTTCAAT